CTTTCTTTCTTTCTTTCTCTCTTTCTTTCTTTCTCTCTTTCTCTCTTTCTCTCTTTCTCTCTTTCTCTCTTTCTCTCTTTCTCTCTTTCTCTCTTTCTTTCTTTCTTTCTTTCTCTCTTTCTTTCTTTCTTTCTTTCTTTCTCTCTCTCTCTCTCTTTCTCTCTCTCTTTCTCTCTTTCTCTCTCTCTTTCTCTCTCTCTCTCTCTTTCTCTCTTTATTTCTTTCTTTCTCTCTCTCTTTCTCTCTCTCTTTCTCTCTTTCTCTTTCTTTTCTCTCTTTCTTTTCTCTCTCTCTCTCTCTCTTTCTCTCTCTCTCTTTCTCTCTCTCTTTCTTTCTCTCTCTCCCCCCTTCTCTCTTTTTTCTTTCTCTCTTTCTTTTTTCTTTTTCACTTTCTGTCTTTCTCTCTTTTTTTTCTCTTCCTCTCCCTCTCCCTCTCTCTCTCTCTCTCTCTCTCTCTCTCTCTCTCTTTCTCTTTCCCTTATGGATGCGGGAGCAGTTACTGAGGATGGGTGCCGTGGACCTGCCCGAAGCGGCGCGCGGGGCTGGATGTGCGGCGCAGCAAGGCGGGCGCACAGGCACCTCCCAGGGCAGAGCTGCCCTTTGCAGGGCAGGGCTTTGCCCTCGCTGGAAGCGTGCTGAGCTCTGCCCGCATGCTGTGCATGCCGCAGGCTTTAGCACGAGGCGCCGGGCACAACCTTTCTGGTCCTGCCTTGGTTTTACAGTGAAAGAAGTGCAGTGAGCGTCCAGCCCGTGCCATTGTGCAGCCCCAGGTTGTTACCACTTGCATTGATACACATTCGTACAGCTTTACCTAGTAGAATTAGTCCAGATTTGGCAGAAGTGCTTTTTGCTGCAGTCCTCAGCTGCTTGCAAGGCAGCACTGAGACCTGCTTTCTGTTTGGCCTCCTTCTGAAGTGACCTTCCCTGCTGTGCAAAGCAGACCTCCTGGCAGCATTTCTAAGTGTGATACCAGCAGCCTAACAGGGAACGGGGCTGAGAAGGCAACTGAAATAATTTTCCAACACAAACCCTACAACATCTGTTAATTGCGTTAGTCATATTTCAATTGTGGTCTAGCCCGGAGGAATCATTTTGCTTGATGCTGGCGTTGTGGGAGAGCCTGCAGTCTCTGCCACTATGTAAACAAGAGGTAGAAGAATTCACACTGGAGGGAGGGAAGGGAAACATCATGTCATGCTTAACAGATGTCTTCCTGGCTGATAGAGCTAAAATAGCAATTCTTGCAGATTCTTACCTCTCTCTAGGATGGGAACTCCCACTGGATGCCAAGCAGACCAGTAGCAAGAGCTTCGTGTTGGCGTGTGCACGGCACACGCTTTGGGGCCCCGCTGGTCGCTTGTGCTCATGTGAAGAGGCAAAGCTGACGTGTGCAGAAGCAGAAAACTCGCCCCACAGCACACACCGGCTTGACCCATATGGTTCTGTTTCTGGTGGTAACATAAGAGTACAGGAGCGTGTTCAGGTGGCTGGTACACGCTGCCAAAACTTGCCAAAGAAAATTCAAAAAAAGTTCAGGGTCGTCTTGTGCCAGGGTGACTCTTCGGTGATAACATCCCTGCACCATCCATCCATCTGTGCCCAAGAGATGCGCTTGGAAATTATTTTTGGTATTTAATGACAGTTCTGGTGTGTGCGTTTCATTATGTCGAAATAAATTGCATGTAGACACCACTTAGTTACAAGAAGGCACGTTGCAAAAGTCTGCAGGTCCCTGAGAGCTGCTGCCAGAGGTGGCCGAGAGCGAGAGGGCCGCGGTGCTGGTAGGTACTGGGTGCCGGTGCCTTCAGTGCCATATCTGGCTGAGACCCCAATAAACGTGTCTTGTAATGGTGATTTGGGCCTATTAATTGAGAAGGATTTCAGGATGTTAACTCTATAAATAAACCACTGTCCTTCCAGGTGCTTTAACTCGGAGAGGCAGTTTTGAGAATCTCTGCTTGTGAAATTCTGAATATTTCCCTCGTGGGTGCTTGGCTGGGAATATTTCTTAAACAATGGAAACATCATCTTTCGGTCTCCTTCTCCTTTATTTATTGCTTCATTACTTCAAGGCCCTGCCCGAGGAGAATTTCCCATCCATAAGCATCCTGAGACATAAGCCCTTGGGCTCCCAGTGCTTTCCAGCTGCACGGATAGTCTCGCTTTTGTGCAGCCAGGCAGTGGTGCACTCGCCAGCGGAGAGTCCACGGGCATCTCCATCTGTTTGGCAGTGAGTGACTTGCCTTGGTGCTTCTGTTCAGCACACAAGTCTTCTGTCTGTTCGGTGTGGAGCAGGTTCACAGCTGAAGGGATCTTGTAGGAATTTGGTTTTAGTCACTTCTTTTATTCTGATTTTATTTGTCCTTCTTAGGAGGGAGATAGAGGCATCCAAATCCTCTTTTACTGGTCGCATGCCAAAGTTGGATTTATTCTCAACAGTATTTCATCATCCCTGTCTTTCCAGTCATTTCAGGCCTTCTTCCTCCTCCCCTATTTATGAAACTATATGTGCAGCTTCCTGGGAGAAAGCAGCTGCTTGCAAATGCATAACCCACAAGGTAACCTCCAAGTACAAAACTGCCAGCCCTGCAAAAGTGTGTGCCAGGCACAGAGTTGGGCCCCAGCGTTGCATCCAGTGCCGTAGATCCCGGCATCCATGTGTCCTGCCGCGTCCCTCGCCAAACCCCGCTGCACACACGTGGCTTTGCATGCGGAGAAGAGGAGCAGCGCTCCCCGAGGAGGGTTCCTGCACGCTCGGGTGAAGCGTGGTTGGTGCGGAAGAGCCGGGACAGAGGGGACAGACCGCGCTGGATGGGAGCAGGCGCAAGCGTTGGGGATGGGCATGTTGGTGCCACCACACGGAGGCTCCCCGTGTGTCCGGCTGTCCCCAGAGCGTGTCCGGCTGCTCCGGGCGTTGCGATCCAGCAGGACCAGGCACTGCCTTGGGGCCGTGTTTTCAGACCCGCTGCCTTTTCGATAACATGCTGCTGATTCTTGTTAGCAGCTTTCGAGGGCCGGGCCCACTCCGGTGAGACGAAGCCCACGTCTCTCCTCTGAAGAGTCCCAGCTGCGGGGTGCATGAGTGTCGTGTCGTGTTGTCTTTAAGCTGTTCCTGGGCTGGCATCATGCAGTCTTCGGCATATGGACCCTCAAATCCTCATTTCCTCCCAGCTTTAGTAAGATTCAGAACAGAGCCCTGCACTCAGCTGAAGCCTCTTCCTCCAGCCTGGCTGAGGACGAGGTTCCTCCTCTCCTCCTTCCCCCTCTCCTCCTTCAGTGCAGGATGCAGCGGGATGCACGTGGTGGTTACTCCACTGCAGCCAAATAGCCCCTGTCCAAAGCACGTGTAGCACCCGAACGATGCCCTGTGGCAAGAAGCTGCTTTTTCTCTCTGTCACAACATCTGTTTACCTGAAGTACTGATGTTTGCTGTTAGGGGGTGAAGCCTACTCTGCCTTCTTTAAAATTCCTGTAATTACCCCTTGCTGCAGTTTCACAGCAGAGGGAAAGTGAATTGTGTTGTGCTCCCCTCCTTGCGCGTTTCTGATCCAGCCGAGAGCATGGCTGCTTGACAGCAGTTGTCCAAAGCCCCTCCAGTCTCTCCCCAAACCTTTCCATGTACTGTTTTAAGGATCCCCAAATAACAAGAGTATTCACTCAGTTTCTTGAGTGGTTTCAGATGCCTGTGAGGATACAACTCAGCAAGGCTAAACCTCCTGAAAGGCAGAACATGTGGTGGGTGTTGTGCACATCTCTGTCCATCTCTTGCCATTTAGAGTAACAGCCCTTTGCCATAATATAGGTTAATCGTAGGCAGAAATTCGAAAGGAAAAAGCTGTTTTCCCGGAAGGAGAGGGCAGGATATATCATCCATGTGGGGCATATCCACGGGCTCTCCCGCAGGGCTGGGCACCGTAGATAGGATGTGTCTGCAGCAGGAGGAGGTGGGTGCCCACCACACGAGCCTGCTCTCCCCTCATCCACACTTGGAGGTTCCCCCACACCTGGGGACTAGGTTGTCTCCAGGCTGCAGAAGCTGGGGGGTCTTTTGTGCTTCTTTCCAAGCAGAAACATCCAAGCCAAAATCCCAAACAGCCGCAGGAGGAGAACTGGCACATTCCCAGAACGAGGGTTTGTTTGTTGTTTGGCTGATAGGTTTTGCCAGCTGAGTGGTGACAGGACTTTGGCAAAGTGCTTCCTGAATGGAGGCTGAAGGAATAAGAGCAGTGCTGCCCACACACACACACAGGTGCTAGTATTGCAATATTGGACAGGAGGGCTGCCTTGTGCTTAAGGAAACCTTTTAAAGCTGAAGCAGAAAGGAGTAGGAATGTCAGCATCATGAAGACACACAGGCAGGTTGTCCTAACTCAATATTTCTGTCCACTTAGGCAACTTATGACAGTGTTAATCTCTTGCCTTATATTGAAATGCCTGCCATTTATTTTATTGAATAAATGTGTTCTGCTAGCACTCAAGAACTGGCACCAGAGGTTCCCTTGATCACTTTGAAAGAGTGGCAGGACATTTCTGAAGCACAGCACACCAGAAAGGCACACAAGGCCTGGTCATCCAACGCACGGCAGTAGTGCCTTGTTTTGGTGTAACGGGAGCTCAGCGAGGTGTAACCCACCCACTCTTAGCTTCAACTCCTTCATGTTTGGGAGGCTCCTCGTGAGGCGCACGGTGTTGGGGGCTTGTGCTGAATGGTCATTCCAGATTTCAGGTCACTTGCTGGGATGAAGCCGACGTAAGGAAGTTGTTAGCCTAATTCAGACCTAGCTTTCTCCTATCTGGAAACATTAAGACCAGCACATTCTTTGGTATTCCTTACTTTTCAGCATCAGGGAACATGGTATTGAGTGGTGTTGGCTGCAAACTTCAAGAGTTGTTTTCTCTCGGCTGCTCTGTTACAGACCACAGTCATTGACTACGTGAAGCCATCAGATCTCAAGAAGGACATGAACGAGACCTTCAAGGAGAAGTTCCCTCACATCAAGCTGACCCTCAGTAAAATACGAAGGTACATTGCCAGGCCTGATACGGCAGCAACACGATGCAGCTGCCTCACATTTCCGTGCAGTTGTTGTTGTACACAAAGAGAAGCAGAATATTGATCCATTTTCCAAGAACAGTCATCTGTGGAGGCGTTGAATAAGTCAGATGATTTCTCTGATTAACGGCCTGAGTAAACAAAATAGGGGAAGGTGTTCAACCATGTACCAGTCAGGTGTAAAACACAGTGTCTGAAGGAGTGAGGATGCAGAGTGAGTGCAGGCTAGGGATGGGAAAACAAAGAAGCCTTATGGTAGCTTAAAAAGAGATGAAGAAAGAAAATTGTTTTGCCTTGTTCAGAGAGCATGACCAGAAGGAAAATAAGTGATCACCTGCACAATGAAATTTTAGTATTTCATCTTTCTTTCCAGAGGAACAGGCTAGACATACTGCTTTGCTGAGATGCTGAGCCCTGTGTGCTAGCCAGAGAAGTCTGCAGGATGTTGAGGGACTGTTCATTTGAATTTGACCAAATAGAACCAAAAATAAAGCTGCACAGAGGTCACAAGCAGTGAAGTTGTTGTCACTAAATAAATTGTAGGTACTTTAAGAGTTCCAATGAAGTCATTGAAGGTGTCAAAGCTTTTTAGGAGCTTCTGTAGTTTGCTACATATAGGGGGTGAGGCTGAGGTCGAAATGTAATCCCCAAAACAGACTATCAGCACGTTTGCCCAGTAAGTTACATCTTTCTTTACCCCTGCATTTGGCCAAGCAGAAATCTCTGAAAGAATGACTCTAGTGGTGAAACGAGAAGTGCTTTGCCACACAGCTCACGGCACGCTTGTCTGGCCTCTTTCCGCAGCCTGAAGAGGGAGATGCGCAAGCTTGCTCAGGAGGAGTGCGGCTTCGAAGAGCCCACCGTGGCCATGGCCTTCGTGTACTTCGAGAAGCTGGCGCTCAAGGGCAAGCTGAACAAGCAGAACAGGAAGCTTTGCGCCGGCGCCTGCGTCCTCCTCGCCGCCAAAATCGGCAGTGACCTCAGAAAACACGAAGTCAAGCATCTTATAGATGTACGTACGCCCACCGGCAGGTGCCCAGCTGTTTAGCCACCTACCTGCCTTCCTTTATCCTATATCCTTTATATCCTATATCCTTTATCTATATTGATAGTGATAGAGGTGGTGGTGACCAGTGACCTCCACCTCTACGGAGGAGTGAGAAGCTTGCTTGGCCAGGTTGAACAGCCTGGTGTCGGATACTGTCTTACCTGATGCAAGCCAAAAGTTAACCTTCAGGGCATTCATTTTCCTTTAATTATGTTTTCAAGAACCATTAAGGACTCTCCTTTGAGAGGTAAATGCAGATGTTAATTTGGGAAGGAGTATAATAGGCTACTAGGCTTGGATTTCCTTCCTCAAGTTAAGTTTTTGGGCATAGGACATTTTGCTTTCCATGAGAACACTTTACCTCAACCTGCTTTCTGTGTTTGGTTTTCTACCCACTCCCTGCTAAAGTAATTCCCTAATTCAGTTGCAAGCATTAAAATGGCAATCTCATCTATCAGTACAGAAAATCAGGCAGGCAGCTCCTTGCTACCAAACTCTGCCTGGTTCAAAAGACACAAGAAGCTGGTTGGGAAGCAGAAATGGATTCATGCCCTTATGCTACAGTCACAGAAATGGTTTGACAGTTAATTAGAATGGCCTACAAATAGATAGGAAAAAAAAAAGTGAGTAAGAGTCCATCTGGCCTGTCTTGCTACAGAAAGCCAACTGTGAAACCCATCTTCACCATTGTGGACAGTAGTTTCTTTTATTTATTTCTCTTACAATTGTTGCAGGTGACACCTTTGGCCCCTGAGGTGTCCATAAAATCAACTAGATCTAGTTGCAAGGGGAGTGATTTCCCCAGTAGGAGGTTCTAACACATTCTGTCACTGAAAGGACAGTTCATGGTTACAGGTGGAGTATGAACTTGGTTTGCAAGAAGCGCGCAAGTGATTTTTGGTGTGTGCATGAAGCAGGGTATTCCCTCTTCCTGCACTGATAATCCCTATGATGCGTACAAGATATCTCTACTAGAAATGGGAGGAGTAGAGCAGGAGAAATAGCACGTCCAGCCAAACTTGGCACATTCAGGTCAGGTAAAAAGAAGTATCTTGCCGAGTAAGGCGGCAGTGAGGGAAGATCCTCAGGGCCTACACGGGAGGCGCAGCCATGGGGTGGGAGGAGAAAGCCAAGGCTCCAGGAGCCACCAGCAAGGCCCAGCTTTACCAAGAGCAGCAGGGGCATGAATACATGTCTCGCGTGCCCCCTGCTGCAAGGGAGGCCGTCGCTCACGGGGACGTTTCCGCGGCTGTTGTTACAGAAACTGGAAGAGAAGTTCCGGCTGAACCGGCGCGAGCTCATCGCCTTCGAGTTCCCGGTGCTCGTGGCCTTGGAGTTCGCGCTGCACCTGCCCGAGCACGAGGTGATGCCGCACTACAGGCGCCTGCTGCAGCACTCCTAGCGCCGGCCGCCCGGCCCGCGGCCGCTCCGGCCGCCGCGCCGGCTCCGCGGAGCTGCCGCCACGACTGGAAACGCACGAGCCGCCTCGCCACGCTCCGCTCGCCCGCCCTTGCCTTGCTCTCTCCAAAAACAGCTTTTGGGGGGGTTATTTTTCCCTTTCTCCCGCAACATATAGGAAACTCCGCGCTGACGTAAGGCTCTGCGCTCTGACAGCTTTCCCTATGGCTCCTTCCTCGAAGCAGGTGAAGCCCGAGGCGCTGCGTAGTGGTCACTGTTTGCTGGAGCTGGGTGGCCGCCGGCCCTGCCTGCGGGGACTGCGCACGGAGGAGATAGCAAAGCCGAAGCAGGCACCCCCAGACGCCAAGGGCGGCCTCCACTCCATCCCCCTCCATCCCACAGCCCCCGAGGGCCCTCCCGAGCGCCTTCCCCCAGGGCTTTTTCTCCCGGCCTGCTGCGACTTACACGAGGACTTCTTAGCCGCTGCGAAAAAGCTTTTACAGAAGATTTCTTCACTGTGTCCAAAAACAAAAAACAGAAAAAAAAAAAAAAAGAGAGAACGTGCCAATCTATTTTTGTATCAGCAACTGGAAGTGCACTTTTTCCTGTGGGGTGTTTGTGCGTGTGAGTGTGCGACACGGGAGCGAGCCCGGGCCGCGGGGCCGGCTTCGCAGCTTCCCTTACTGATGCTGAGGAGCAAGGCGACCTTACATGTTTACTTCTTGAAAAACCTAACTACTGGAAAAGTGGCAAATGGGAACATTTTTGGACACTTTTTTTTTTCTTCTTTTTTTTTTTTTTTTTTTTTTTTTTTTTATTCTCTGATCTTTCCAACGTTTTACCTTTGAAAGGGTTACACTACTACTACTACTACTACTACTACGAGAGGAGAATCAGCAGCTGACCATTCCTTTTCACTCACGTGCGTGACAAAGATGAAAGAAAGCATTAGGACGAGACTTCCACGTCGTGTTTTATAAAAATGTCTTGTGTTCAGCCACATGCGTATTTTGAACCTTGGCACTTTTCCCACTGTGGAGATGGTTAGACTTGCACTCTGTAGTGTTGTATTTCTGTGCTCTATGTTAGAGTGCATAATAAGCACATTTATTGTGCTGTATCTTAAAACAGTGTTTTATTAAAAAAAAAAAAAAAAAGTAGGGCTCAGTAGTATAACAGGTGTCTTAAGGCTCCAACAACAGGGACATCAGCTGTTGTTATTTTCGGTTTTGTTTTAACTAGAATTGGTTGTGCAAAACTTAAGGTGAGTGACCAGTTAGAGGTCCGGTTCCTGTAGCCATTTCAGTACTGGAGATTTACCCTCAGCTTCCTGCAGCTTCCCAGGTTCTGACTGGACGCCCGGGAAAGGCTGGGAACGCTCATCCCAGCTCCCTGGTGCTGTGTGCACTATGCTAGCGCCGTGCCTGGGGACACTGTTCAATCGCTTTCAGTTAATCCATGAGCTTAGACCCAAGCCCAGTCTTCTCCTGTGCTGATTCACTGAGCAAGCCTTGCCCTGAACATGCCCCGCACAGACCCACTCAAGTCAAACACATTTATGGTATTTCAGACAGATCTAACGCCCTCAGCCACGAGGTTTGGGCTGCAGCCTTCCGCCTCCCAGTCCGGGAGCGCCTGCTCCGAGTACGGAAAGGGCTTTTGAGGAGAAGCTCGAGGAGTGGGACGTAGCAGAGGATGCAGACACACTCATGCTTAACTTCCTTCAGCTTTTACTTTAATCGGTTTTATTCTTTCCTTCGGTGAGGCCAGGAAGCATCCAGTTTCTTTACCGGCTTCCATATGTGTAAGTGCTAGTTTGAGGAACGCCCGTGTGCGCCCGCTCCGTAGGCTCTGCCGAGGTTACGGAAAACACTGGGTCAGGACAAGGGGAGTTTGCTGGGTGCCCTTGCTCTCCCGCCGTTTTGGGGGTGCTCCCTGGGCCGTTATTACTGCTTACCTGAGGGGGAACTGGATACATTCCACCAGGATTGGGGGCAGAGGGGGCAAGGAGACAAGTGCCCCCCACGTTTTGATTTCGAGTCGGATTTTAACGTTACTTCGTGGTACTGCAGGGCAAAAGCACCTAGGGGTGGCAAGATAACGGACTGAAGAACGAGGCTCACGTAGCCTGTAGGGATGCTCCTGAATGGCGCTGTCACATCCTTGTCTTCTCTGCGGCTTCCCAGCCCTGAGCTGCAGTTCACACGGATCTCTGGGATGAAATCTGAGTGCTGGAGACCTGCTTCTGTCGTCGTCGTTTCGGGGAAGGGTTTTGGAGTCGCGTTCAGTTGCAGCTCGAACGTGGAGCAAACGCGATGGTGACGGCGTCGCGCCGGTCGCGCCGGAACGTACCTAAAGCCATATGATGCCACAGGTCAAAGCACAACGCTTGGTCAGCACCGCCACGGTTAGGACAACAGGCAGTATTTGCCCCCGTTTCTCTCCAACCCTGGGAATATTCAGGCTGAAGATAGCAAGGAAATCTGTACCAACCAACCAAACAAGCGTTGATTGTTCGCCTTTGTCTTCACGGTAATGAATGTTGATTTACAAATGATTTTAGGTTCGACTTTACATAGTTTGGAAAATAATCCATTCCATATCACTTGTTATGTTTTGAGACTATATACCATATGCTCTACCATGCAGAGTTTTTTTTTCCTTTTCTAAAATAAAAATAATTTTTTTAAAAAAATTGAAAGGCCCAGACTCTTTCTTCAGCAGTGACAGTAATTAAAATTATCCAGTTCTCTTACCTGCGTGTGCCAAATGTTTTTGGTTTTGCCTTCCTCTGGGACAGAAAAGTGCTTATTACGAAGCCAGTGCCAGTATTACTAGTAACTCCGGTGAGAAGTGAGAGCTGGGGCCATCGCCACAGCACTGTCACTGTCACCACTGCTGACATCGAGTTGCACCTTTGGCACCTAGGGATTTGGTGCAGGGAGCATGGGGCAGGGAGGGAAGGGAAGGGATTCTTGTTTGAACTTTGCTTGCCCATCCATCTCCCATTTTAAACTTCAGAGACAAGGGAGAAAAGATGGAGAGAAGCAGGAGTTTCACATGAATCTCTTCAAATCAACTTGCACTCAAACCCAAAGTTTGTGAACCGAAAAGTTTCTGAACCTCTAAGTCTTGTTCGCTCCCACTGACTGTTAACTTGGTGCCTCAGCATGAGAACAAGCCTGATTTTAATCACAGAACGGAGATGGGCAAACGGCAATCTTTGCACCACGCTACTTCTGGGCTGTTGTTTTCTCTACACCTTGTGCACGCCCGTGGCCCCAAGGTGACCATGCCCTAAGCTCCATCCTGAGAAGAGCCTACAAGCAAACCCAAACTCATCCTTCCTGCAGAGACAGCAGCAAAGATGGGAAGCTCCTCCCCTCCTAACCCGAGGAGGAGTCTTGGAGGGTTTTAAAACTAAATATATTTGGAGAAATTCAATTTGGGTTTATTAAAGTTAATTCTACATTAAAACAACGGCATATGTTTTAAATAAAGCTTCTTGCCACAAGCACTTTCAGGAATACAGTAGTGGGGGGAAACACCTTGCTCAGGGAGCTCATGCTCTGGTACTTGCTGGCACATCTGTAATGAAGGCATCTGGTCCAGATGAGCTCAGAGACCATCTTCGCATTGAGTCTAAAGCCAGAAAGCATTGCCCAGAACCCAACAGCAGAGATCAGGACTAGTAAGTGAGACTAAAACTAAGAGTTGTCATGTGTTACAGAAAAAAATAAAAGAGCAGGAATGAATGATAATTTTGGAAAATGAACTTCATGCACTCAATGCGTCACCATGCACATCACCAGCGTCACCATGCACGTCATGCACGTCACCACTCCTTGTGGAGAAAAGGAGTCTCCCTGCTCCCACTGCCCGAGAGAGGGCTGCACGGGCCCTGGGCAGCCCAGCTGAAGCCCCCTCAGCAGTCGCTGCCCTCTGCCTTGAGGGCCAGAAGCTCCTCAGAGACCACCCGGCCCTTCCTCGCGGGGCACAAGCATTTCTAAGAGTCATCTCGACACGTCTTGCTTCAAAGGGGCAAAGGCCAGCGCATCTCCAAACACCAGAAGATGGTTCTAATCTCACACTCTTCTAGTCGTGAGTGTTTAATGCCCTTTTCTGGAGTAATTTACACATTATCCCTGCCATCTTGAAACACCCTGCTCCACCGAGCAGCACAGATCAGAAACTCGAGTACTCCCAAGGGCAAATGTTAAAATTCATACCCAAAATGTTAAAATTCAAGACCAAACCAGAGCTGAAAAGTGTTCAGCTCCTCTGATGGACTGAAAGGGTCACTAATATTTTCTGGATCCAAAACCCCATAAGCTGTCAACTGCCTACGAGGGCTAGCTCTGTGTCATCCTATTTGTGTACAGACTGCAGTGGAATTAAACTAATGACATATGTCAAGGAAAAACTATTTTTTATCCAGTGCTCAATCTCAAATCTCCTTTAACTTGAGCAGTACTGCCCAGTGAGACCTGTACCGGTCAGTGCAACATACAAGCCACCGCATCGAGATGTCTTCTCCAATGAACCTTTCAAGTATCAAAACTGAAATTATCAGTCACACAGACAAACAGAGAACGATCAGGCTATCAGGTCCCACTTCCTCTTTCGTTCCTCGTTAGCTGCTTTGCCCTTGATTGCCTTTTTTTTTTTTTTTTTTTTTTTTTTTTAATATCGGTAAGCCTAAAGATAAGAAGGAAAAAAAAAAAAGCTGGTGCAACGCTGGGAGTTGGGTCTGGGTGACTTTCACACTGCGCACCCAGAGCTGAAGGCTCCACCCTGGGTCTGATTTATTTTAAAAGCCTGCTGGGCCCATTAATGGAAAATTTGGCTCTGTTCAGGCTATGGTGTCGTCCACGGAGTGGAAAAAACACAATTGTTAGGGACAAATATTGGAGAAATGGTAATCCGTGATCCAAAGCAGATCCTTGGTTAGATGGAGAGGGTGACATGAAAGGTTACAAGGCCACAAGGCTGCGAAAATATTTCTTGCCAGTTCCTTACGGCAGGCACCAAGAGGCCTGCAGGCCGCAGAGCAGGAAAATCACAGTTTTGTAGCTCCCACAGCTACCAGCACCGCTCTCCCTCACATCTGACTCTGCAGCTTTCTACCCAGGACACTTCTCTCTCAGCACAGACCTCATTCCTCTTCCCCATGAGGACTAACACTACTTAATGTATAAATACATATCTACTGGCTCTTACCGCAGCTCAGTAAAACAGGGAATAACCAGGGAACAGCTCTACTTTGGACTGAAATCAGAGCAGGACGCAGAAGAACAGCGGTGAGGGCCCTCCAAGCCCGTCCACCGAGGGCCTAAGGGAGTCATCTCCCACCCTGCCTGGTCTGCCTCGGGACAGCAGGGAAGGCCACCCTTGGCATGAAGACCTGGAAATCCTCCCAACACACCTCGAGGCTGTTTCAAAGGGTATTTAAAACCCTATATTGGCTAAAACAGGATGGTAGGCACACCAGATTTGCACCACAGGGACTTCCGTAAGAGACACCACATCCATCATTGCCCAATTCCCGGCACTACAGAAGCTTGTCCTCATCTACCCGTTCCAGTGCACTTACTGAGGAGTCCCAGTAGCCTCTCATGCTTCACCCAG